ACTTTAGAAGCTTATTGGGTTGACATTGAATATATAAAACCCAATCTTTTTATGAATTATTATCAATGGCTCACGATTCACCACTTATCGTAGGGACTACTATTTTAGGTGGACCCGTTGACCATTAGCAAACTTCGTGGTATAGCAACACGTCACCCTGAGCATTTAAACCATTAAATGCTAATCATTTTAACATAATTAGTTTATTGGGATGAAGCATTATAAAATATATAACGATGCTCCAGTTGGTTATTATGAACTATGGATTATTATCAATGGTTCATCAAGGACTACTATGTACGACAACATATTACCATGAGCAATAAATGCTCATGATTATCCTCACTTTTCAAAAGTGTGAATGAGGTTATTGGATTGAAAAACTAAGCTCGAGTTTGGTTGTTATGAACTATTAATCCATGGTTCATCCCCTCACCATAGGACTACTGATTTTGGGTGGACCCATACCCGTCAGTAAATATGTGGTATGGCAATTTTATAAATTACGCGTGGATGGCAATAAAAATATATTAGTGATCTTTAGTATAAGAGTTATGTACAAGTCTCTGTTAATACAATGTTCAAATATATTTGGGTTCATAAGCTTTTGAATTATATTAAGCACTTACATGACTAACTAAAGAAAAAAATAGTAAAAATCCACTATCGTTAATAGGTTTGTAATGGGAAGGATCTCATAGAATATGATCCTGACATTGTATATCTTGTAATCTTATACAATCTCCCAACTGTCAAATCGCCCTCCTTTTCTCTAATTCTACCTCCCTCTACTTATCCGTCCCCCTCTCCTTGAACCCTCTCTTTCTTTATGTGGATAGCTCTTGAATCTACCATGACTTCTTCGCTAGAACCCTCTCTCGCTCTTCACCAAAACTCTATTAGGAAAACGTCTCTCTCTCTCCTTCCTGCCCAAACTCATATTGCAAACCCAAAACTCTATCAAGAAAACATCTCTCTCTCTCCTTCCTACTTGAACTCATAATGCAAAGGACAGGATCACCATTTTGGTTGGAAACAATAAAATGTGTGGAGTGTAGGGCTCCAGAAGTGGAGGAGGACGTAAATATGGAAGAGCATGATGCGCAAGAGCAAAGGAGGAGGCATCAATATTCTAAATATTGGGCAATAAAAAAGAATATTGCTAAGGCGAAGAAAGGGGGCTAGAATAACCACATGAAGGAGATATAGGACGACACAAGCCTATGTAGTTTGGGGACATGGTCCAAAAGGTTGGCCTCAACCATTGTGGCTGCTAGGGTTCGAGGCAGGTTTTTTGTTTGTTTTTTGTGTTGATTTATAGGGTCCTCTTCTTGTTTGTGAGTTTTTGGGACCCTACATTCTTGAACTGTATGAATGCTAAGGGTGGTAGGGCTGTTTCTGTAATTTTTTAGAGCCCTATTTGTGGTTTAACACTTTAACTTCTACTGACATGCCAAAAATCTTATTTTGTGTTATAATAAGTGATCCTAGAGCTTCCATTTCTTTTTATTTCATCTATTTCTTTTTATTTATGTCGTCATTCCTTAAGGCATTTAGATGGGGTCATTGTGCTTCACATTATGTTACATTCGGAGTTAGATATCTTTTTTATTAAACACATAAAGTTGTTTCCTTATCTCTTATCTAGTTTTGGTTTTTTCTATTTTTCCTTTCATTTTTTAGGAAGCCACTTTCTTTTTTTTTCATGAGTCATCTACCCTAACTTTATTCAGAGCTCTGCATGTATTTGCTCATTTCAGTAAGCATTTGTTAAAGAAATTTTGTATTGAGTAGTCTTGCTTGAAATTTTTTACTTGTACGCACTTTCTTTAATTTTTCATGGGTCGTCTACCATGTATTTACTCGTCTGCCATGTATTTTCTCAGTACATTTCCTTCATTTCTAGAAATTTTTTTCTTATGCTAATTTTCTAGCTGTGTTATTTGTTTGTTCTATTTGGTTGAAAACTTAACTTCTTTTACTTTTGCCTTCTATTGGTTTGGCATCGAGTGGAGATTAAATATTTTGAGTATGTTAACTATGTTTTTTATTTCATGTGTAGTAGTACTAAACTACTAATAGAGGTAGAACCGGACAAGATCAGTGTTTAATTCAAATTGCACCCAGAGTTAATATAGAACTTCTTCTTCAGTTATAGGAGAAAGTTTATATAAGGTTGCAACCTTAAAATATATAACTATGGATGCACCTCAAAAATCTATTGGAAAATATTGTTTTAATGTTGAAAAACACTCTAATTGATCATCTCAACATCGAGATAGATGACTATAAAAAGTAAAAAGAATTTTAATTCGTAAAAATAGTGCATCTTAAAACACTTTATCTAAATCGTCAATTTTCAAGATTTCCATATGTTTATAGATCTACTTGATTTTAACCATTTTTGAAGTTTAAAATTTTACAATTTGATATAAAAATAGATTTTGAGATAATCCTAAGAATATTTTACATCTAAATTATATGTTATAATAAATTGGAGTGCACTTAATTGGATTGTTTAAGTTGCAACCATATGGAAACCACACCCTTAGTTATATGATATCTATGCCTCTTATCGGTGATTGTTTTCTGCGTGGCTACGTTGAAGTGGTTTTGGGTTCCAAACTCCAAACCCCATTAAGTTTTAATCACGAGTACATCAGTGGCAATTCTGAAGCTTGCAAATGATTGCGTGGTGTAGGTTCAAAGTGCTATTGGGTTATTTGGTTTAGAGTCCTTTGGACTTTAGCGATGGGTGGAGCGACATTGTTGTCCAAGCCTAAAGTTTTGCAAAAAAATCAAGGGTTTGATTATCTATTTGATACTTTGACAGTTTGATGATAAGATATTACAAAAGCTTTAGTAGCTCATTACCAAACCAGTAACTAATTACCACACTCAATTATGCCATATATAATTAACTTAACATAGTTTCAGGGCCGGTCTTTGGCCCCCGTGTTACCCATGTATGATGAGTGATGTTATTTTTAAAACTCTCTTACAATATCTCGGTCGATTACATTAGTTTTTCGGAAATGTTTATATACATTTACATCCTTATCTTAATAACTAAGGATGCAGTCTTATCAACCGAACAAAATAGTGGACGGTTCAGATTAAGCATTGAACTCCACGGACCAACACCATCAACTAGAAACTCCCAGTTTGCTCAAACTCTCCCATCTTGTGCGTCACCGTCTCTCTGTACTCTTTCTTTCCCCTGTCCCCCACAGCTGGTCAATCTCTCTTTACTCTCTCTCTCCACCCCTCACCATTCTCTCTCTCATTCCCCTTCTACACCTATTCCATTTTTTTTTATATCCTCTCTCTCTTAATGGACTATCTCTCTTTTGCTGGCTTGCTTTCATGGACGGAGAAACTAAAAACACATAAAAAGCAAAGAAAAACAGAAACTAACAATAAAGGGTTTCACTCTCTCTCAAAGTATCTCGAACAAAACCTACATAAACCACAAATACTATCCCACCATTTTGGCAAGAACACCAATCCTTATGGAGGAACCCAATATCACATTGACCATAACACTATCTTGGGTAGGGTAGAGTGAAGGAAACCGGGGCACTAGTAAGCGACAGTGCTCCCTTATATTAGTGCATAGTCCACACATTGGTGAAATACTTTAACAATTTGCTTCAACCTGAACACTACAACTAAAGATTCATTTATATGCAAACCGCACCTTTATTTTGAAGTTTCAAGTCTTTTGACTTCTGACTTACAATATCTCAATAGAATACATCCCACACTTAATCAAACATAGTACACTTGATTTTTTATTGGTCAATAGTTGTGAAAAAAATGAGTAAAAGATAATTGCATCAGGTAACTTATATATAGTCCAACTCGAAAATTTTTGATGCTTTGGTGTCGTAGGGAGGATTAGGGGCTGCCTCTCCTAAAAAAAAAAAAATGATTTCAAAGAGAATTCTCCAAAATAAAATTTATTATGAAAAAATCATAGTGCAAAACATACATACAATGTTATGTGCCCTGTCATAATGAACGTGAAGATGTGGAATACTTAAATATTAATTATTTTAAAATTCCGACTTACAATCTCTTCATGAATACATTTCACACTTATTGAACATCGTGTTCATTTTTTTAGTGGCCAACCACCTTCTCCTTACACTAATACATGCCGACACCACCATCTTTCCTTTATGCACAACATCTTTCCTTTATGCACAACATGCAGCCCTGCATATACCATAGTGTCATGGCTTGACACAAACCAACCTCCTCTAATGTCTAAACAATCTACACAGTGACACCTGACACTTCCTAAATGATATTGCAGTACTAATATCTAAAAAATCTACGCAGTGACACCTGTCCAACTCGCCCCTCCAATACTTCAGAAACTTGATTCTAAATATGTTAGAATCATTATTCCAAACAACAATATATCTATGTACCACATATGTTAGAAACTCAAATAAAGAGATGTCGAAAACTCGATTCCGCTATTGTAATTCTCGATCTCAAACCAGCATGAATCATCGATCCATATACTTCAAATAGTTGATTCCAAATATGTTAGAATCACGATTCCATAGATGACGGAAACTCGATTCCACATATGTCGGAAACTTGATTCCGTAAATGACGGAAACTCGACTCCACATATTAATGAAACTTGACTATTGGAGTGTCATCCCAAGGGATGGGAATCTCGATTCCAAGGAAGTTGGATTCTCGATTCCATATGTAGATGAAACTTGGACTTATTCCGATTGATACCATTCCTGAAAACTAGGAATCTCATTCTCAACGATTCCTATTGTACGGACAACGATCCCTAGAGTGGGAATCTTCTAGCCAGGCACGATTCCAGTTCCTGAAACAATTCAGGTTCACAGACGTTTCCAACAACTATGCTCCAAACTACAAAGCTGAGTTGCTTCTTGTCAAGTTGAGTACTAACTTAAAACAAGAATTAAAAAAAAAAAATTGCAAAACAAAACACGCCCAGTCAATTTTCATCTTACAAGCAACTGATTGGCATTACATTCAATTGCTCCCTATTACAACCATGAACTTTTAATGTTTCCAAAGGGGACATTCAATGACATTTATAAAAGTTAATATTCTTTGACAAATAAGGAAATTTGGAATGAGGCGTCTTTCTGATGTTCAAATGACGTCTTACCTCACCTTACTATTCCAAACGTCATCCCTACAAGCCAATAGGAGCATCAGATAAGTCAAAAAACTGAGGAATGAAATAAATGTGAAAAAAATATTAACAAATACGTTTCTAATGATCTTTAAAATATAGAATGGGCATAAATATCTTGCCTTGTTTGTAATGTTCTGGCTTAGCCAGTCAAGGCCTTCATAAAGTCCCTCACCAGAAGTGGCACATGTGCTCTGGATGTACCTGACAAAAACAACACAAAGCAATTTGTGATTTTATTTTTTGCTTTTCTTTTTTTTTATGTTGAGAATAACTTCTATTAGAGAGTGCATATTAAACCTAGAAAGATTTAAATCATCAATCAGATGCACGAGAAAGATTTGTGTAGAGATACTTCACCCATGATATAGATGGTATGGAATTTCCCTACTAGAAATATTTTTTATTTGATATTTAACTCAATTACTAGTCAATCTCAAATAATTGGAAAAAGACTTGGATGATGATAATGATTTATTTCAATTTCTAGTTATGTTATGTTGGATTGCGCTTACCCAGTCAAAAGAAAATTAATTGGAAAAGAAAATGAAATCCAATTCAAATAATACATAATGGATACTAAGAAGGGAGTTAGTTAATGATCCACAAGAGCAGCTAGATCTCATTATCTCTCATAAATCTTCATGGGTGAAGGCTATTCCCTAAGGGCATGTTTGGGTGGCTTGCTGCTTTGGAAAATCAGTGCTGGTTACTTATCTCGGTATTGGTGTAGTATAATACCACGAGCCCACTTAAGCAGAAAAAGAGTGCTCAGAGGGTCAACTTTACTGATAGTTGTTCTGTCCGTCTCTGACTGAATTGCTTTGAACCAATGGTTTAAAAAACGAATCGGTGACCCGGATCGGGCTTTCAAAAAACCGATTCGGATCGGCAAATCGGCGATCCGGATCGAGAATCGGGTGAATCGGTCAGAATAAAGCTTAAAAAAAATCCGAAAAAATTATTAAAATTCATTATAAATATTGTTTTTTGGAATTCAATAAAAAATGAGGGTACTCCATTAAGAATTTTCATGTGTTTTAATGAATATACGAATATTGATATGTTCTTTCCCTGCATGAACCGCCATTCAGCATTTCATTTACAGTATTTCGTGCTCATCCCTAC